AAACACCTGATGGTCCTAATAAAGAGATGGACAGCCAATAGGGAGACAGAAGCAAGGATAGGTGGGCCTAGCAGGCAGAGAGTATAAGTAAAAGGTGAACGCTGAGAGGAGAATAACGAGGAGCCCTAGAACAAGAGTGAAGGACTCAGGTGGCCATTCACCAATTCACTCAGAAGCCATGGAGTAAGAGTGGAAGTAAGATTTACAGAAGAGAAAGATAAAAAGCCAGAGGCATAAGGTAGTCTGGATAATTTAAGTCAAGAAGAGCTGACAAGAAACATGCCAAGCTAAGGGCAGGCATTCATAAGAAAGAAGCCTGTGTGTGTGATTTATTTGGGAGCTTGTCTGGGGGACGTTACTCTCCCTCTTTTTAGTGACACACAAGCAAAAGAAATCCAGTGACGGTGAAGGGCAGGGCTGGAACTGAAACACTGTGGTCCCTCTGGGCTTCCCACGCAGAGGCCGAGGGAAAGCAGAGGGCCCTCAGCACAGCAGTTGAAGCCTTGTCCATCCCTGGCTCTCTGCCACACACACCATCCGACATCCTCGACTTTGGGCCTGCTCTTTAGTAACTCAGAAAAGCAGAAGAGGACATCGCTTCCCAGGAACTCCCACCTCCTGAGTCCCACTCCTGAAAGGATCAACTTAAGCCTTCATCCTTCAGGAATCTCTGTCCCCTGCCCAGGACTCACTGCGCTTTCTCCAGAACCATTTATTCCTTGATGTGTGACTTGGAGACTGAAGGCCATCTTCCCTGTGCCTCTCTCTGGCCTCCCTGCGCTCTCCATCCTGCTTCCTCCCTGCGCTCTCCATCCTGTCTCCCAAGCAGCCTGTTCAGTCGTGTCAGCATGGCTGTGGGTGAACCACACAGGCACTGAACGAATGCCTCAAGGGCAGTTGGCGTTGCCACAACACAGGTGACATCACAGAATTCCAGGCTCTCCAGGATACAGTAGAATGTCCAGGTGGGGGACTGCTGATGTCATATGATACAGCTCTTAACCCCTGCTAACTACTTCACCCAAAAGTGACCTGAAACTAACTTACCATTTCCAAGAGCCTCTCGGGGGACACCGGGGAAGCCTTTAGACACATTGTCTTCCTAAAGCCGGAAATCTAGCCCTCTGCTTCTCAGGTGTTATGTGAGAAACTGAACGATCACTTCCCAACCACTGCCCAGGGATGGCTTTTTCCTCCTTAAGACCCACACTCAAGTAACGTGAGAAACAAAGGATGCTTAGAAATGAGGTCAGGATAAAGGGAGTAGAACAGATGAGATCTCTGAAGTGAACCAGCACTTGTGCCAATCCTCAGACTTTTAGAGACTGGAGGGTTCAAAACAAAGAGAAGACACATAGGAAGTAATGAAAATTTCACTCAGAATGTCACTAGAGCTCACTCAAGCTATGAGGTTGGTAGTGAAGATGTGACTAGCTCTTGACTGGTCTACCTGGATCCACTGAGCCCAGGTGAGCTTCAGATACGGAAAGCAAACAGTCGTAGAAAGAGTATGATGGCCCAATCTTGAATCAATCGACTGAGGAAAGAGTAGTGGCACCCAGAGGTCAGTGCGCGCCTTCTAGAGGAATCATTAGCAATGGAGACAAAAGCACACAAACACACACACAGACACACGCAGACACGTAAACAGGAAAACCTGCACACAATCACACGCTGCCTAATAACTGTATGCCTGTGGAAATGTGCCTTTGCATGGCATCCCAGGTGGTTAGTGTCATTCACCTTCCTCATGACCACATTCTCATGGTAGTGACCCAACACCAGACCCTGGGTTGCTGGAGAGCTGTTCATTGACCGGAAGGAAGATGTGTGAGACACAAGCCTGTCATGCCAGTGTTGGGGGTAACAGCACAGGAAGACCAGGAGTTCCAGACCATCCTGGACTAAGAAACTCTGGTTCAAAGAAGACAGGCAGACCAGGATGGGAGCTCAGGTGGTGGAGGGCTTCTCTAGCAGACATTAAACCCCAAGCTCCATTTCAGCACCATGTAAACATGCCTTGACATCCAGGAAGAAAGGGAGATCAGAGCTTGCAGGTTATCCTTAGCTGCAGGGTGAGATGGAGGCCAGCCTGGGCTACATGGGAGCTGTTGGAAGAGAGAAAACTGGATTTTCAGGTCACAGGCAGGGAGATCTGTCTTGAGAGATGTAGAGATGGGTGACAGAGTTGGTGGCAGTTGGTAATTAGGGTGGCCAGGCACGGTCTTGGGGGAGTGCTGTCTCCAGGATACCATATCCCCCAGATGGCGAGAGTGAGGTCTCAGGAAGGAAGAATGAAATTATCTGAGCTGTTTTGTAGAATTAGGGGAGGCTCCACAGGGACCTTCTCACCCTGTTTATCTGGGAGAGACAGCAGGCCACAGTGACCTTCAGGACTCGTTGGTAGATTCCCAGATCCACTGCATGTAGAACACACCGTGTAACTTCCTGGGCACCTTGATGTGGGTGCTGGGTTGTTGTAAGTGGCTACAATCCACATCACTTAAAGCAGCAGGGATGGAATTTTCTGGTTCTGGAAACCGAAAGTCCCAAATCCTGGAGACTGCCTTCTTCAGAGGGTCCAGGTAGAGGCTCCTTCCTGCCTCTTCCAGGATCTGGGACGTGGATGGCCTGAGTCTCAGTCCCATCCCACCAGTCTCCATCTCTGCCTTCCTCTGAATTTGTGTGCTCTTTATTATGTCTTTATGTGAGACATGGTCTTGATGAGTAGTCCTGCTGGTCTGAACTTCTAACCCCCTGCCTCAGCCTCGCTAGTGCAGGGTCAGTCCTGGGGCTATAGCTCAGAGGTAGAGTGTTAGTCCAGTGTGTGTGAGGTTTGGTTTCCATTCCCAGTGTTGGAGAAAACCCCAAAAGGTCTATTGTTTTATATGGCCTTTTCCCCCTTCTGAGCCTGACTACCCACCAAGGTCCAGCAATCAATTATTGAAGTCCAGACATCCAAGCCCCCGTTGACTCATCAAATCAACCTGTCCAATTAAAATTAAAGACCTCCTCCTAACATAGGGGTTTCCATTTTACCTTCATAAATCATCATTTCCCTATATGCCAAGTCTGTCTCTTCTGTATCCAGAATCAGTTCTTTGTGTCTCCAGAAAAATATCCCTGTCCCCTTCCCTTGTTCCTGTCCCTTCTCCGTCATCCCCTATCTCCTATATCTCGTTCTTACTTCCTGCCCTCTGTTCCTCTGGGGAAAATAAGTCTCTTATGTGCTACGAACTTGGTCTTGGTGTGTCATGATTTGAAACTTTACCTTTCAGTGGGTGTTCAGACCCTGCAGAAGAAATGGGGTTCCCACAGCCCCCATGATTGCCAACTCTGTCTTTGTGATGTTTGCTTCACCATACACCCCAGGTGATCCTTAAAAATGAGTCTGATTGTGGAGGTGCGGGCAGGTCAGCCCAGCACACAAAATGTGATGGCTGCAGGGGCAGGAAATTGATACTACCCTGGGCTACATAGCAAGACCCTGTCCCACACACAATTATTTCAATTGTGATAAATACACAAATAAACTTTCAGCTATTTTAGAGTTGCCCTTCACTGCCGTAAAAACATTTATATTCTTCAGAGTCCTCAGGATGTACATCTTTCATCCTAGCATTCAGGAGACAGAGACAGGCAGATCTTTAAGTTCCAGGCCAGCCTGGTCTGAATAGTGAGTTACAGGATAGCCAGGGCTTCTCAGAGGGAAAAGAGCCTTCACAGTAAACAGCTAAAGAGATAGGTTTTTGGTTAAGAGCACTGACTGTTTTTGCAGAGGATCCAGGTTTGATTCCCATCACCTACATGGAGGCTCACACCTATTTAACTCCAGATCCCGGGGATCCTCCTCCTTTTTCTGATCTGCACAGGCACCAAACTACCATGAGGCCTACATATATGCTATGTGATGTGTGTATGTTTTCATATTGTGCTGGATAAAAAATGGTAAAAGTGTTTCCATTAAGACTGAAGACTTAAGTTCAATGTCTGGAAAGATATAGGTAAATAGTAGCAGATAGTCCAGAGACCTTAGTTAAAACCAAATACTAATCTATTTATTTATTTAGTAATGTTTTACCCTTGGTCTTTGGGCTATCTATCTATCTATCTATCTATCTATCTATCTGTATATCGACTCTGATTATCTACTCTGGTTCTTAGTTACTCAAGCAAGTGTTTGGTGTGAGTTCCTACTTGTAGAGTGGGCCTTAAGTCAATTCAGACCCTGGTTGGCTATTCCCAAAGATTTGTGTCACCTTCTTTTTGTCCTTCATATTTTGTAGACAGGACATTTTGTAGGTCAAGGATTTTATGACTGGGTTGGTTGATGTCTGATTTTCTCTTTCAATAGTGGTCAGAGTACCCTGCCTCATCCAAAAAACTAGAACATAGGGATGCAGGCACCTCCAGGACGTTTGAACCCCAGGTCATCTGGGATCAGGCCTCCCTGGACTCCACACTGGCAGAGTCGCCTTCCCAGCCCATCAGGACTCCGCGGAGAAGCCTAAGTGAGCTTTAGGGTCAGGTTTTTTGCAGACACGAGCAAGGACGCGCAAAGGGTTGGTCACCCCAGGTGTGTGCTGGAGCCTTGTCTGGACGATTGCGAGAAAGGCGGCGAGGGGTAGGTGCCAGTGCTCAGGGAGTCCAGACAGGAGGGAGATGGAAGAACTTGACATGGGGTGGAGAGGGACCTTCAGGGGTGAGGGTGGTCTGGTGGTGGGATTGGAGACTATGTAGAGGGATGGACAGTGGCGAGGATGGCCTGGGGTGAGATTGGAGAATATGCACCGTGGACCTGCTCCTGGACTTTAAGACAAAAACTCCAGACTTTAAGAAATGTTCTCATTACTCCAGGAACTAAACTCCTAAACATATTTTATATGAGGCCGAGGCTTTAAATTTTCCTGGGAAGACTGAACACAGATATAGAAGTTAAGAGAGAGAGGGAAAAACAAAGCAGTAGGAAGAAGTTGTCTGCCTTTTTAAACAGGAAAGATCAGGGTAGAGCGCGAACACAGTCCCCCACTAACAAAAATTATGCAGTCGAGTTTCCTGCATTTGGGGAAATAGCAGGGGTCAACGCACCCCAAGTGCAATGGTTGGGCCTCACCCTGAAAAAACGACCTACGTTTTTCATGGTATCTCCTCTGCCAAGTAAGTATGCTTTGCTGTCCTGCAACCCAGACTCAGCACAACCGGCTCTGCACTCTGAACACACGGTCACTTCGCCACGCATACTCCAGGACCTAATTGGACGCGCACCCCATTCCTTCGATTCGATGCTCCCCGTGGACCAGCTCACCCTTCCACACTGCGCTGGAAATCCAGCGTGTTTCCTCAAATGGTGCTGATGCGACTGTCCCTGCGCGCTCCTCATCTTCATAGACCACGCCTCCAAGCAGCACCCAGTGGTGACATCACAGGCATCCTCTTTGCCCCTTTTGCTTGGTGAACTTTCTTGAATGCAGAGAGCTGGATGGAGTGTTGCAGGATCAGAGACAAATCATCTTGAATTATCTCCAACTTCCAAATAGTTGATGGCTGCTCACCGCCACGGCCTAACAGCCCTGTCGCTGGTTTCCCTGTGTAGTGACAGACCCCTATCTTCAATCAACACGAAGTCAGAGAAGTCAGCAGCTAGTGAGCCAGCCTCAACCAAAAAAAAAAAAAAAAAAAAAAAAAGGAGGAGAAGAATTGTTGTCTAACAACTGTATCAATTCATTTAGTGAATACTGAATTTAAAACATGCTTTGAGAGGGATGTGCTGTTCCCGAGTCAGGGTCTGGTGCATGTTAAATACAGGAACCACAGGGAGAAAAAGTCTGGAGTACAGTAGCAACCTAGATTTTGACAGTTGCCAAAAAGTACTCTGGCTTTCAGGCAGAAAATTCCAAATTTCAAGTCTTTCAGAGTTTTCTCATTAACACAGTACCTAATTTCCTAAGGAATAATTTCTGAAAGCCAATACCTATTTTCTTTTTGTTTTCATTATTTCCTAGTAACAACTTTCTTTTTTATTACTTTATAAATAATACCAATCAAAATTTTCACTCCCTTCTCATCTATCCCTCCAGGTCTAAGAGAGGGTAAGGCACTCTGCCCTGTGGGAAGTCCAAGGCCCTCCTCCCTCCATCCAGGCTTAGGAAGGTGTACATCCAAATAGAATAGGATCCCAAAAAGCCAGTCCATGCAGTAGAGGCAAATCCCAGTGCCATTATCATTGGTTTCTCATTCTGACCATTTGTCAGCCACATTCAGAGGGGCCAGTTTGTTCCCATGCTCGTTCAATCCCAGTCCAGCTGGATTTAGTGAGCTCCCATTAGCACACTGTCTCAGAGGGAAGGCCAACCCCTTGTGGTCCTGACTTCCTTGCTCATATTCTCCCTCCTTCCACTCTTCAACTGGACATTAAGAGCTCAGTCCAGTGCTCTGATGTGGGTCTCTGTCTCTATCTATCACCATCGGTCTCTGGACGACGGTCTATGGTGATATTAAGATAGTCATCAGTCTGCCTACAGGAAAAGGGCAGTTCAGGCACCCTCTCCTCCACTGCCCAGGGTCCTAGCTGGGGTCATCCCAGTGGACTTCTGGGGACCTCTCCAGAGCGAAGCGTCTTGCCAACCCCAAAATGGCTCCCTCAATTAAGATATCTTTTTCCCTGCTCACATATCCATCCTTCCTACATCTCAACCCTCCCCCTCCTCCAAGCTCTCCACAGCCCTCCCCTTCTCCCTTCTCTATCACCCATTCTCCCTCTTCCCTTCCTCCCAACCACCCCCATCCTCATGCTTCCAACTTATGTCTGGCCATCTTCTATGATTCCAATTTCTAGGAAAATCTATATATGTTTTTCTGTAGGTTCACCTTATTACTTAGCTTTTCTAGGATTGTGAACTGTACGCTCTGTGTCCTTTGTTTATAGCTAGACGTCGCTAATGAGTGAGTACATACCATATTCATATTAATGGGTCTGGGTATTCACACACAGCATAGTGTTTTCTATTTCCATCCATTTGCATGCAAAATTCAAGATGTCATTTTTTTTTAACCACTGAGTAGTACTCTAATGTGTATATGTGCCACACTTTCTGAATCCATTATTCCATTGAGGGGCATCTAGGTTGTTTCCAGCTTCTGGTTATTATAAATAATGCTGCTATAAACACAGTTGAACAAATGCTTTTGTAGTATGATTGGGCATCTCTTGGGTATATTCCCAAGAGTGATATTGCTGGAACCTGAGGTATGTTGACTCCCAACTTTCTGAAAATCTACCACACTGATTTCCAAAGTGGTTGCACAAGTTTGCATTCCCACCAGCAATGGAGGAGTGTTCCCCTTACTCCACATCCTCTCCATCATAGGCTATGATTGGTGTTTTTGATTTGAGCCATTCTGACAGGTGTAAGTTGTTTTGATTTGCATTTCCCTGATAACTAAGGAAGTTGAACATGTCCTTAAGAATCTTTTGGCCATTTGAAATTCTTCTGTTGAGAATTCTCCGTTCAGTTCAGTAATTGGGTTATTTAGAATTGTAATGTCTAGTTTCTTGAGTTCTTTATATATTTTGGCGATCAGACTTTTGTCTGATGTGGGGTTGGTGAAGATCTTCTCCCATTCCATAGGTTGCCCTTTTGTCTTAATGACAGTGTTCTTTGCTTTGTAGAAGCTTCTCAGTGTTAGGAGCTCCCATTTATTCATTGTTGCTATTATTGACTCTGCTACTGGGGTTATATGTAGGAAGTGGTGTCCTGTGCCCATATATTGCAGGCTACTTCTCATTTTCTCTTCTATCAGGTTCAGTGTGGTCAGATTTATATTTAGGTCTTTAATCCATTTGGACTTACTTGAGTTTTGTGCATGGGGATAGGTATGGATCTATTTTCATTATTCTACAAGTTGAAATCCAGTTATGCCAGCACCACTAGTTAAAGATGCTTTCTTTCTTCCATTGTATAATTTTTGCTTCTTTGTCAAAAATCAGGTGTTCATGGGTTTGTGGATTAAATATCTGGGTCTGTGAATCGATTTCATTGGTCAATGTCTCTGTTTTTTATGCCAATACCAAGCTGTTTTCATTAGTGCAGCTCTGTAATAGAGTTTGATGTCAGGAATGGTAATGCCTCTGGAAGTTCCTTTATTCTGTAATATTGTTTTGGCTATCCTGGGTTTTTTGTTTTTCCACAGAAAGTTGATTATTGTTACCTCAAGGTCTGTGAAGAAATTTGTTGGCATTGTGATGGGGATTGCATTGAATCTATAGATTGCCTTTAGTAGAATTGCCATTTTTTTTACTATTTGATCCTACCAATCCAGGAGCATAGGAGATCTTTCCATTTTCTTGTGTCCTCTTCAATTTCTTTCTTCAAAGACTTCAAGTTCCTGTCAAATAGATCTTTCATTTCTTTGGTTAGTGTTACCCAAAGATACTTCATGCTATTTGTGGCTATCGTGAAAGGTGATGTTTCTCTGATTTCCATCTCTGCTTCTTTATCCTTCGTGTATAGGAGGGTTACTGGGTTTTTTTGGGTTTTTTTTTTGTTTTTGAGTTGATCTTGTATCCTGTCACATCACTGAAGGCATTTATGAGCTGTAGCAGTTTTCTGGTAGAGTGTTTAGGGTCACTTTTGTACACTATCATATCATCTGCAAATATTGAAAGTTTGACTTTTTCCTTTCCAATTCGAATCCCCTTGATCTCCTTATGTTGTCTTATTGCTATTGCTAGAACTTCAAGCACTATGTTGAAGAGATATGGAGAGAGTGGACAGCATTGTCTTGTTCCTGATTTTAGTGAAATCGCTTTGAGTTTCTCTCCATTAATTTGATGTTATCTGTTGGCTTGCTGTATATTGTTTTATTATATTTATTATTATTTTATATGATCCTTGTATCCCTAATCTCTCCAAGACCTTTATCATAAAAGGTGTTGAATTGTATCAAATGCTTTTTTGGCATGTAATATAATGATCATATGGTTTTTTCTTATAGTTTTTTTATATGATGAATTACATTGATAGATGTTTGTATGTTGAGCCAGCCCTGCATCTGGGATGAAGCCTACTTGATCATAATGGATAATTTTTGGATGTGTTCTTGGATTCGGTTTGCCATTTTTTTATTGAGAATTTTTTCATTGATGTTCATGAGTTGATTGGTCTGTAATTCTCTTTCTTGTTTGAGTGTGTGGTTTTGGTATCAAGGTAACTGTAGCTTCATAAGAAGAGTTTGACAATGGCTCTTCTGTTTCTATAATGTGGAACACATTAAGGAATATAGGTATTAGCTCTTCTTGGAAGTTCTGGTAGAATTCTGCATTAAAACCATCTGGCCCTTGGCTTTTTTGGGGGTGGGGGTTTTGATGACAGTTTCTATTTCCTCGTGACTTATAGGGCTATTTAAATTGTTCACCTGGGTCTTGATTTAATTTTGGTATATTGTATTTATCTAAAAAAATCCATTTCTTTTGTATTTTCCAATTTTGTGGCTTATAGGCTTTTGTAGTAAGACCTAATAATTTTCTGAATTTCCTCAGTGTCTGTTGTTATGTCCCCCTTTGCGTTTCTGATCTTGTTAATTTGCATGTTCTCTCTGCCTTTTGACTAGTTTGGAAAAGGGTTTGTCTATTTTGTTGATTTTTTTTTTTGAAATTTTATTTATCATGTGTACAACATTCTGCTTCCCACATACCAAAAGAGGGCGCCAGATCTAATTAAAGACGACTGTGAGCCACTATGTGGTTTCTGTGAATTGAATTCAGGACCTCTGGAAGAGCAGTCAGTGCTCTTAACCTCTGAGCCATCCCTCCAGCCCTTTTGTTGATTTTCTTAAAAAAAAAAAAAAAACTAGCTCTTTGTTTCATTGATTCTTTGTATTGTTTTCTGTGTTTCTATTTAGTTGATTTCAGCCCTCAGTTTGATTATTTACAGTCTTCTACTCCTCCTGGGTAAGTCTGCCTTTTTTTTTCTAGAGCTTTCAGGTGTGCTGTTAAGTCTCTGGTGTGAGCCTTCTCCATTTTCTTTATATGGGCACCTAGTGCTATGAACTTCCTTCTTAGCACTGCTTTCATAGTGTCCCATAGGTTTGGGTATGTTGTGTCTTCATTTTCATTGAATTAAAGGAAAACTCTAATTTCTTTCTTAATTTTTCCTTGACCCAGGAG